AGCCAACAAAACTGCCTAAGCTACGGAGTCCATTGAATACAATTGAGGAATAACTCATTCCTACAGTAAAAAGTGCTCTGCCCACTATGAATTCAATTTCATCAATATCTCTTGAATTGTGATGTTTTCCATGTTGCTTTCATAATCCTGTAATTATTAAAGTAATTAAATTGATAAATATATTTTTAGCAAAGCATTCATAGGAAATTGGTGAAATGTCATAATATTCTAAGGGTTATTAAAATCAAAGAAGGTTCACAAGCAGATTGAGAATGTCTAATTAGAGTCAGACTTCATTTGCTGATCCCTGAGAGGTCCAGTACAGCTACTGTCAATCACAGTGCTTTGTGAGACTACTCCATGTCTCTCCAACTGGAAGGCTTAATTTGGCAAAACTTCAAGTAGCAAAACATCAAAGAAAATTACAACGTTAGCAGCAAGTTTCTAGAAAGCATGCAAATCTGTGGATCTATGAAGCTAGGTCTTGTCTTGAACCCCTTAATTAAAGGAAGAGGATCTGGGTTAGATGAAGCCTGTCCAATGGCTAGACTTGAGCCATGATCTCACTCCTGTTCAAAACCTTCAAAAGTTTCTAGTTGTCCCAATATTCAGGATAGCATTCAGGTCCCAACTTATCTCTGATTATTTCCCTATATTAATCTAAACTCTGGCCAAACCAGACTACTCATCATTTTAAAACATTCGTTGCATTTTCTTAGCTACAGAATTTTTCTCGTGTCCATCTTTCCACATGGAATGCACTTCCTCTCCATCCAAAAAAATTATATTCTTTCTTCTGAATCAGATGGAATGCCACCTCTTTTCTGTTGCTCCAGAGAGTTTCATAAATCTCTTGCCTGAAGTTCCACTGTACTTTGTTCTTCCTTGTCTAAACTCCCCATTAATTCCTGTGTCTAATGTATGATACTGGAGTCAAACAGGCCTATATACTAATTCTCTACTTAATAGCTGTGTGACTTTGGACAAGATAAAGTCTCTGAGCCCCAATTGCCTCACCTGATAATTGGTATACTAACAATGTATGCTGTAAAATGTTCTTATGAAAGTATATAATATATGTAAAGCACCTAGCATAATACTTGACACATAGTAGATTTAACACATTAAATTCCCTCCTTATTCCTCTTGCCTGAATGTCATATAGCACTTACGAGGTATCTGCTGAATAAATAAATGAAATTATGAACTTGTCTGAGTCAGGTCTAAGAAGAAAGCACAGGCAATAGTTAACCTGAGGATTCAGCTATGTTTTACATCATGATTCCTGTCTGTAACCTCTTTCCTGTTTTACAAAGAAAATTAGAAATTAACATTTAAACATTTATAAATCAGTAGCTTCAGTTTTTAAAACAAAAATAAGAAAGATGGAAATTATATCACATTCAGAGTAATTTGCATTACAGGTTAACAGAAATGTATACAACTATAGTGGAATATACATATTAAAGACAAAAAGAACCGTGTTAAAAAAAAAAAAAAAGCCACACCTTTTAAAATAAACATATTGTTGATGGTTGTGTTGGTATTGTTATTCTGAGATTAGGTTATTGTGTGTGTATTGTGAGACAAAGCAAATTAGTGATTATGTTGCTCCACTAAGAACCAGGGTTTGGGGCAAGGGAAAAAGGAGATACAGATATAACATCAGTAAGATTAAGTTAAAAACCTTGTAGTTCTGATCCTGAATTGGAAATAGCATATAATCCATAATATAGTTTCTCTTTAAAGGAAAAAAAATACGTATTTCCTAGTTCTGTCCTCTGAAAAGGCCTAGAAACAATGACCAACCCAATAAATGGACAATGAACAACTGAAAACAATGAACAACCCTTGGTATTCAGCTTGTGGCCTCTAAATACCATGACCTAGTAAAAGCAAGGAGCCCTGCTGGCACAGTGGTTAAGTGTTTGGCTGCTAACTAAAAGGTCGGCAGTTCGAATCTACCAGGCACTCCTTGGAAACCCTATGGGGCAGTTCTACTCTGTCCTATGAGTAGGAATCGACCCTACAGCAACAGGTTTGGTTTGGTTTAGTAAAAGAAACTGGACTCTTTGGAAAAGTGGCTGATTCCAGATAGGCAGGATATGTATGTGATGGCCTGGAACATTTTGTCGTATCAGAATGCTAGGAAGCTGTTAATGGTTATGAGGGTCATGCCAGAAGGACTCAGTAACCAGCTTAAAGGGGCTCCCACTGGCCAAAGATGGGACTTTGGGCATCAATAAAAAATAATTAGTACAATGGAACAAAGCACATCAAATACTTTTAAAATCATTAGCTAATAATGATACTAAAAAACCAATCAACCAGTCACTTTTGGAGGATGCTAGGGAACCCAACTGATAGGTAAATAAAGGGAAAGAATGCAACATTTATCCTACTTTCTTATACAAAAGTACCTCAGGGTAACCAAATAGTTGATAAGGGGAAGTTACTTTTTTACAGAATTATGTCAACTAACAAATAAAGAAGGAATAATAGAATTACAGTATACCATTTTGCACCCCCAACGAATAATAGATTTGGGCAATAATCTTTAATGAGTACTGACATCACAAAAAGAGAGAAGGATATTATTCCTAATGGAAACAAACGGCAACACCTAGGAAATATTCTTGTCAAAACAAAACAAAAAATCAAACTTGAATCCACATCAAGCTTCTAGATCTAACTACCAATTCACAGGAAATACAGAGGGAAGGGACTATGTTAAATGCTGCCATGGGAATGGAATCACCTTGTTATGGATTGAATTAAGTCCCCAAAAAGATATGTTGAAGTTTTAAGCCCTGGTACCAGTGAATGTGACTTACTTGGAAATAGGGTCTTTGGAGATGTTATCAGTTAATTTAACAGGAGATCATACTGGAGTTGGGTGGGTCCAATATGAGTGGTATCCTTATAAAAGAGGAGTGGAGACACTGAGAGACACACAGAGGGAGCATGTGAAGATGGAGGCAGAGATTGGAGTGGTCTGCAAGCCAGGGAACGCCAAGGATGCTGGCCAACACCAAAAGCTAGGAACAGATTCTCCCTCAGAGCCCTCAGAAGGAATCAATAAGGCTGACACCCTGATATCAGACTCCTAGTCTCCAAAACTGTGGAACAATAAATTTTCGTTCTTATAAACCACTCACTTTGCAGTACTTTGTTATGGCAGCCCTAGAAAACTAATACACACCAAAATGAAGGCTGTGGAAAATTTCACAGGATAAATTATTTGGTTTCTTTAACAAATAAATGGCAAGGGAAAAAAAGATGAAGGTAAAATTTATGGATTAAAAGACTTAAGAGACATATCAACCAATTTAATTGTTTGGACTTTATTGGAATTCTAGTTTATACCAGAAAATTGTAAAAAAAAAAAATTTCTTTTAAGAAAAATTTGGAGACAATTGGGATCATTTGAAACCTGACCACATACTGAATATTGTATTTAGAAATTATTATAAAATATTTTAGGTGGAAAATAGTATAATAACTATGTATATTAAAAAAGTCCTTACCTTTTAGAGACACAAATTAAAATATTTACAAAGATAAAAATGATATGATATTGGGAATTTGCTTCAAAATAATCTGTGTGTGTAGGGGAGTGGTTGGAGTATAGATGAAATAAAACTTCCCATAAGTGAAACACTGTTGAAGCTAAGTGATGGGTACATGGGGCTTCATTATATTATTCTCTCTATTTTTGTATATATTTGAAATTTTCTTTAATAAAATTTTTTTAAATCACACTTTAAAATAATTTCATAAATAAAACAGACCAAATTGAATTTTACATTCTCTCATCATTTAAAGCAGTGGTAGACAATGTTTACAGAGCTGATAAGGAGGAAATATAAAGTCCTACTTTCTTGTACTCTGCCTTTCCTGAAATTTATGAGACTTCAGAAGGCAATGTATGATTCGCTGCCCAATGTTTAAACAATGCCCTTGTCTGCTTCGAGGCAATAACCATCCTACAGCATATGAGCCAGGTCTGCTTTGGACAACTATTGTCTTGTACTGAGCTCTGGTTTCTACTTCAATAAATTGAAAATTAAACTTTTCATGTGTTCCTAACATTTTTCATGACACAGGAAAGAACATTGGAAAGGAACATGCAAAAATGATAACTGTTATTGTCCCAGGGTGATAGGTCATAGTGATTTATTTTATCCCTGTTTCTCAATTTTCTGCAATATTATTTTATATTATTTTACATTTAAAAAATGTATTTTGAAGAAAAAAAGAAAGTTGACATTATTATTATTATTATTGTCTTTTTAGACCCCTTAGGACCTGTAACACATAGTAGTTAGACAGTCAACAAATACTCAGTGAATGTAACCTCCATAAAAGTAGATGTGGAAAGGTTGAACTGCAAATCACAGATGACTGCACCAGGAAAGAGGTGTGATACTGCAATTCAGAGAGTATCATAGAGGCAGTGCCTCCTGCACAGCAGGGGAGATTTTTTTTACAACCTGTATAGAGTCTAGAAAATGCTCATTTTGTGCCAAAGTCCTGAGAGTTGCAGAAGCAGAGAGAAGGCATTCACAGGCATTTGCTGAGCATGCCCTGGTAAGAGCAAGTCTTTTTAGGTTTTAGCATTGCCATGTTCTTTACAGTGGCTATTCTACATCAAAAGCTATGGCTATATGGTTGAATGATATTCTGTACTCAGTCCTTCAGGGAATTACAGTGATTCAGTGAGGTTAGTAATAAAACCCTGTTTAACTCAGAATAAGACTTAAAAAAAACCCAAAACCCATTGCTATTGAGCCGACTCCAGCTCATAGAGATCCTATAGGAGACAGTAGAACCGTCCAATAGGGTTTCCAAGGAGGGGCTGGTGGATTTCAACCGCTGACCTTATGATTAGCAGCCTGGGCTTTTAGCCACTGCACTACCAGGACTCCCAGAATGAGACTTAGAAGAGATTAAATATGACAATAAAGATGATCTAAGTGAACCAGGACAGAGCCACTTACCCGAACTGTATTTGGTTTTCCCAATTTCTTGTGGCAGAGGAACTAGAAAGTTTTAAAAATCACTATTATAAAAATTTGTTTTATATTTCTGTTTATATTTATTTCATTGTTAATTTTAGTAACATTAGCAGCTTTTAGTAACTTTCATGTAGTTTATTCCACCATATTTCATTTGTCATTTCAAACTCTTAGACATAATAATCCTCCCAGGTATTGCTATAGGTAGATACTAATAATATATAAATTTATTGACAATTTCCCATAAGCCAGGTTCTGTAAGCACTTCATATGTATTATTTCATTTAATCTGCACAACATCCCTATGATGGAGATACTCTTATTATTATCATTTGATTGATGATGAAACCGAGGCACAGAGCGGTTAAATAATTCCCTAAATAATAAATAATGCCCAGAATCACACAAGTAGGCCAGGATGGGCAGGGATTCAGACCCAGGCTGTGGGACTCCTGAGTCTGTGACCTCAATTGCCATGTAGATGTGTGTACTGCAGTGACAGTTACAGCCAAGAGGTCACTGCTAATTGCCTGCATACTTAGGGGGATCTCCCATTGTACTGTAAGATGCTTGAGGGAAAACACTGTATTTTGAGCATTACTGGATCTCCAGTGCTTTGTACAGGGCCTGTCACATATATGAATAAATGGATATATGAGTAAATGATAAACCTAGCCCTCAGAGTGAGCAGACATGGCACACAGGCCCTCTTTCAGAATGGTGCCTTTACATCACTCATTTCTCCTTGGAGGAAACCATATTACTCATACAACACAAGATGGTTAACATGAAGCTTGGGCTTACATCCTTGCTACAGTTTATCATGGAGGAGCGGCTGCAAGATACTCAATAGCTTCTTTCAAGCTGAAGTAGGTCTACTGCAAGGAGGAAGAGCATAAGAAACGCTTATTAGCTGTTCTGATGAGCAATTTCCAATAATGCAGTATTAATACAGATGTTATACGTACCTATCTAGCATACAGCAGTGAAGGAATATTAAAGCAAGAGCTCTGACTCACCTAGTTAAAGAGTTAAGAGGCAGTAACCCTGCTATACTTCCCTGTATAACCCTTATCACTCTCTAGTATTTTCCTTCATTCTTGATATATTTCTTTGTTATGGTCTGTCTCCTCCCACCACTCCCCACTACAACGTAAATTCCATAGGAGCAGAGACCTGGTAAGTCTTTCCCTTTCTGTATTCTCAGTGCCCAAAGCAGTGCCTGCTTCATGGTGGTCCACATGATATGCTTGTTGACTGAATGAAACTGCCCCGGCTATTTAAATGAAGACTACATTCACCAACCAGAGAGCAGCCTTCGCATGTGCCCAGTGGGTGAGGTCTGACCACCACACAGCGTCCCTCTTTCCAAACACCACTGCACAGAGTTTTCCCCATAAGAGAGGAATCTTTCAATTGGGGACAGCAGGGGACATAGATCTGCTGGGTTGTACTCTTCCATCTGGTGATTGGAAAACATATGAGTCCTGGGTCCGTAGGCTGAACCTTCAGTTTACATTACCATTCCCACTCGTGTCTTGATCTTTCCCTTTCTTGGAACATTTTAGAAGAAAAGCCTTTGGAAATGTGGACATGGAAAGTTTTAACTTAGTTCTGCTTAATGCCATATGAGGTACTGGACAGAAAAAAGCAAGATGGAAAATATGTGAAATTCTGAGTAATCTGCATATTTGGTATATCAACATGGAGTGTAGACCATTATAGAAAAGATGAAAGAAATTAAAATGTTACTCTTAAAACAATGCAATATTAAGGAAAAGGATAACTCAATGAAACAAGGTAATTACTAAAGTAATCATAACTTATGGTTGTGTAGTACAGTACAGCTAACCAGCCTCTCTCACACTCTCTGACTCTTCCCACCATCCTTTTGTTGTTTTTGTGCGCACCATTGAGTCCATTCCTACTCATAGCAACCCTATAGGGCAGAGTAGAACTGCCCTATAGGGTTTCCAAGGCTGTAATCTTTAGGGAAGTATCCTGCCACATCTTTCTCTCGTGGAGCAGCTGGTGGGTTCGAACCAGCAACCTTTTGGTTAATAGCCAAGTACTTAACCACTGCACCACCAGGGCTCATTTCCCACAACCCCACTACTACTACCCATTGCCATTGAGTGGATTCCAACTCATAGTGACCTACAGGACAGAGCAGAACTGCCCCATAGGGTTTCCAAGGAGTGGCTGGTGGATTCGAACTTCTGACCTTTTGGTCTTCAGCAGAGCTCTTAACCACTGTGCCACCAGGGCTCCTTTCCCATAACCCTAAAAAAACCCATTGCATCAATTCTGACTCATACTGACCCTACACCTACTTATTCAGCATCTGACTCATGGACATTTTGTTGAGGGTTGAGAACTTCTTCTCAGACACTGGGAATTCTGAAGAGTTCACAATCGATCACAATTATAAGAGCAGGGCAAGTGCTATGAGGAGATGTGTGCATAGGGCACTATGGGCACATACCATAGGGATACTTACCCAGACTATGGGGAATCAGGGAAGGCTTGTAAGAGGAGGACAACCAGGAGCTGAATAGTGATGGATGATTAGGAATTTGCTGGTGAAAGAGATACAACAGGCAAATCAATGGCAAGAAAGAGGGAAAGTACAAGGGGGTGCCAGGAACTTCAATAGATCTGTATGACTGAGGAATGGATGGAAAAGAGTGGAGGAGCCCTGAGAGAAGAGCCAAAGGGAAGAACAAAATGGGCTTTGAATTCCACATTAAGACTAGTAGTAATACATGGCACCTCAAAGGCAATGAGGAGATACTGAGGGATTTTAATTAAGGAGGAAAGATGATCAGATATTGCAGATACTCTTAGTAGTTTACTCAACTGAAATATCCTCTTCTTCCTAAAGAACCTCAATTTTTCTCATATAGCAGGAGGCTATGTTTTTCAGTGGAGACTGGGTCCCACCCTAGGCCCAGGAAGTAGAATTTGATCAATTTAAGCCATCTTGGTAATTCCACTCCATGGCCACTGCCTGATTTAGGCAGAGGCATATGCCACAATTTTGGCCAATGAGATAGAGGAGAAATCTGTTTGGGGGCTTCTGGAAAAGATTTCCTCGCTCTCAAAAAGGGATATAAATTATGGACGTTTTCTTTTTTGCTATTGAACAATGTATGAGAATGTGTTGCTTGGAACTGCTGTAGCCATCTTGGGACTATGAGAGGACAGGTCTGAGGACAAAAGGCAATATGATGAGGATGGCAGAATGGGAAGATGTAAAGAATCTGGGTCCTTCATGTGGCCAATTACTAAAATAAGGACACTATAGCTACCCACTCCAGAGTTCTCTTTAAGTGAGTTAACAAAGCCCCTTACTGCCATTCTGAGTTGGGTCTTCTATTTAATTTTGTAGCCAAAAGCATCCCAATTGATATATTGATTTTTAATTTAGAAAGATCACTCTGAAAGCAGTGGGCCAATTAGGTGTATGGAGGCTAAGAATGCAGGTCGGGATATTAGTAGGAGGCTGAGGTAGGAATCACTATGTATTGATGAGACAAGTTCTGCAGGGTGGACAGGTGGGAATGGGCTTAAGAAATCAGATGAAGTTGGAGTAAACAGGACTTTGAGATCATTTAGTTGTACATCCCAGATGATTTTGAGGTTTCTGGATGGTAGGGCCCATCAATAAGGTAGAGAGCCGGGGAGAAGGCTTGGTAGAAATGATGCCTAGTAAGTTACTAGACCTATTGTGCAGATGAGGTAACCAAGTCTCATTCAGTAGACTGTACAGCCTGTGAGGGTAAAAATTTTACCTATTTTCTTTATCACTGATTCCTCAGTGACACAAAGTAGGTAATTAATAAGAATGCTTAATCATAAATGAATAAGGCTTAGAAAAACTATGCCATTTGCCTAAGACAGCACATGTAGTTGGAAGTTGTGAAGCTAGAACACACACTCAAGTCTTCTAACTCTTTCCAACACACTGTCTACCACATGGCAACAATATCAGCAAAAGGCTGAATCTCTGACTGAAGCAGAGGAGGAAACTCTTATTGGTAGATATGGCATAAGAGTGGGCTCTCTCCCTCAGGTGTCTTAGTTACATAATGCTTCTGTAACAAAAAATACCACAAGTGAGTGGCTTTAAAGAACAGAAATTTATTTTCTCACAGTTCTGGAGGCTAGAAGTCCAAATTAGGGCACTGGCTCTAGGGGAGGGTCCTTCCTCGTCAGTAGCCCCGGGCATTGCTTGATGTACCTTGGTTTGTACAGGGATCTTCACATGGAGTCTGTCTTCTCTCTGTGTGTATGTCTCTATGTCTGTTTTCCCTTTTTATAAGATACGTCTCAGAAGGGACTTTGTTTAGGACCCATCATACTCTGGTATGGCTCATTAACATAACAAAAGAAAATCTCTTTTTCCAACAGGGTCATATTTACGGGTATATGGGTTAGAACTTCAACATAACTTTTTTAGGGACACAATTCAATCCATAACAGAGGGTATCTAATTTTTTTTTATTAGTGTATATTTTACAGAAGTTTCTTAAGAAAGATGCTCAAGAAGGATGCATTTTGGAATCTGAGAATCATGGGTTGTACCGCAATGGTGACATATTCAGCATGAAACAGATTCCTCTCATTCTAACCTGAATCTCACAGTCTAAGAAAAAGGCAAAAATTTAAGATTTAAGGCCTCCTCAGTCTATCTGGAGTGAATACAGACTAACCTAAATCCCTGTATACAATTTTAAATCTTTCTCTTGTATGGTCTTTGAAAAAGGCAGGGATCAACTGTGCATCATCTTATGTATGAGAATCATTAAAGTACCGGAAGACATTATTCAATATCTTCTCTTAGTATTCTTTCCTTTAAGAGAACTACTCCTAATTTCTCTAGCCTTCCTAATCTATATGATTCTTGCAATATTTTCTATATCTTTATGGCTCTTTTCTCAGCATCCTTTATTTTCCTCCATACTCTTAAGCTGAGGGACCCAAAAACTCATCAAGAAAAGAATTATCCCTATACTTTTGTTTCTTCTCTAAAGACAGTTTTACAAGAATTTAAATGTTTCCTACAATTAAACTAAGAGCTAAGGAAGAGGCAAAGAAGTAGAAATCATTGACCTTAACCTCAAAGAATAGATCTGTGGGAATAGGAGGTAGGATGCACATAAGCCCCTAACAATCCAAGAAAGACATCATAGTGTATAATTCAAGGGCCAGATTATGGGATACATACTAAAAGTGTTTTAGAAATTTAGAAAAGCAGTATAGCATGATGGGCTATTAATGAAGGATCCCTGAAGACCAGCAAATATAGAGTGGGCCTTGAAGAGCATTTAGAATGTGTAGGGGAAACATAGGTGTCTGGTAAGAGGTGGCAGTGGGAGAGGTCTGCAGTATAAAGATAACCAGAACAGGGAGTTTATGTGCAAAGTACATCCAAGATACTTACTAATATTTACTAAGTAAATGACAGAAAGGAAGGAAAAAGGAAAATGAGAAAGAATGGGTAGAGTTTGGAAGTATTTCTAATTAATTTCTCAAAAGTTAGGTGAGTGGTTATTTAAATCATAATTAATATTTTGAATCCTAAGTTTAAGTAACTATAATTTGCCAGGTATTCAAGAATACAGAGTGTACACCTAGTATATTTTTTATTTTCTGTTTCAGATTATCTATGGTTCTTTGTCTTTTTTTAAAGTCGTGAAATTTTTAGTAACTAACAAGAGTTATAACAAAGCTATTCCATTATTTCTTCTAGGAATAGCCCAGATTTGAAATATCAAACGGTAGTTCAAAAGCAATATGGGAAGACTGCAATAATTTGTTTTCATCTCACAATACGTTAAGGGAAATAAAAAAGAATTCCACGAAACATTCATCGCTGTGTGAATGAACCACTGACTTCATATAAACCTTCCTGATTTACAGAGGGACAGAGGGGAGTGGAACAAGGAATGTGAGAAGGAATAAGTAGTTATTTACAATAACAAACTCCTTTCTCCCAGGGGTAAATTATTCTGGAACAGGAATGAATTGAGATGCTTTACACAAGCAAGAGCCGAGTAACATAAACATTTTAGACACTGCCATAGATTCTGAGGACCATTACAGCATTCCAGACAACTCTGTGTTGTTGCATATTGTGGGGAAAAGGTCATGAGCCTTGCAGCCAAAATGACCTGTTTTTATGGTGACTTCTGCACTTAAGAGCAGTATAGCCTTGGGCAAGTCATTTAACCCTTCTGATTCTATTTCTTCATCTGCAAAATAGGAGTAATTGTACCTACTCCATACAATGGTTGTACAGATTAAACAAGAGAGTGTGCAAAAGGCCTAACCAACTGCCTGCTAAGTAGCAGGAATTCAATAGATGGTGACTCTTATTAATTCTTAAGCAATCAAAAACAAAAACAAAAAAAAAAACAAACAAACAAACCACCAAATCCATTGCCCTTGAGTCAATTCTGACTCAAAGCAACTCTATAGGACAAAGTAGAACTGCCCCTTGGGTTTCCAAGGAGTGGCTGGTGGATTTGAACTGCCAGCCTTTTGGTTAGCAGCCAAGCTCTTAACCACTATGCCACTAGGGTAACAGGGCCCAAATTCCCCACTCTGTTCCACTAGGCAGAAATCAAATCTGACCTCTCTGTGGCAATAGGGGGAGCGGGGGGAAGAGGTCTTCTTTCCTCAGGTGAAGACAATTAAATCAACTTGTTAATTTCCAAGAGAACATTCTTATGGAACATTAAACCCATAAAACCAAACCCATTGCCGTCGAGTCGATTCCGACTCATAGCAACTCTATAGGGCAGAGTAGAACTGCCCCATAGAATTTCCAAGGAATGGCTGGTGGATTTGAACTGCCAGCTGTTCAGTTCACAGCCAAGCTCTTAACCACTGGGCCACTAGGGCTCCTATGGAACATTGGCTTGAGCCAATTCTCAATTATCCAAAGCAACAAAAGCAAGAAATACCTGGGAAGAGGGTGTGTGAGTTTTTTTGTTCTGGTTCTGTCTTTGGCTTTAGCGCCTTCTTACTTCCCTTTGACCACCTCCAGTCTCCTCTCAGGAGTCCTTGGGTGGTGCAAACCATTAACATGATTGGCTGCTAACTAAAATGTTGGTGGTTTGAGTCCACCTAGAGGCACCTTGAAAGAAAAAAGGAAGGCATGGTGATCTACTTCCGAATAATCAGCCACTGAAAACCCGAAGGAGCTCAGTTCTACTCTGACACACACTTGGGGTTGCCATGAGTCAGAATCAACTCAAGGCAACTGGTTTGGCTTGATTAGTCTCTACTCTAATTCACCTTCAATCTATCAGTCCTGTCCTCACAGCTACCACTGAGCAACTTATTTAGGTTTTCTCAAATTTTGAGAAGATTCTTGTTGAAAAATAAAAGGCTCAGGAAAAATCTAAAAATCAAATGAATTATTCTATACAACTTAAAGGGCAAACTCCCCCCTCCTCCTACCTCGATCATGTTTATCAATGACATATATGTAGAGAGTCTGGGATTTGTCCAGATGATGTACAGCACTGTAAATGGAAGTGTTGCTTTAAGATAATTTCAAAATACTGTTAAAATATACACAGACCAAATGGGGAATCTAGGTCATGGTATTAGAATAAAGGAAAGTTCCTTCTATTTTTAGTTATGAAATATTATTGAAAACTTAAAGCTTAAAATATGCTTTAAAAATCTATAACTTCTCAAGAATAAGCTTTTTAAAAATCTTTATCCATGTATATGCTGTTGGTAAAATCTACTTTGCAGGCTGGAAAAAAAAAAAGCTGGAGTGCGGTGGGTCTAGAAAGACACTTTTTAAATATACCTATGAAATATTTTGTTGCCACAAAAATGGTTCTGGAAATAGTAATGTTAAAAGTATTCAAGAGCTGGGCTTCTTGTTTTCTAATACAAATACAAAACAATTTGCAGATGGATTTTTTTATTATGGATATAATGGTATTGAGGGAACAACTTGGGGTCATAGATACTTAATATCATCAATAACCTTCTTCCACAGCCAGTTTTAGGAAAACTTACAAAGTAGTATGAGTTTGTCTTCTTTAAGACTGTTTCACCTTATATCCCTGTTACCACCCCAGGTCTACTCCCATTCCATAATTTCATCCCTGCCCCCAGATTCTTATAACTTCTCTTAAAGATATCAACCTGATAAATCATTGATCAAGGTAAATTAGTTTATGTCCAACCTCTTCCAGAAGCTTCTACTTCAAGGGGGGTAAGTGATCAGCAGGAAGTTCCTCACCCTCAAGGAATAAATTTCTAATGGTAAAATTTCAGATACCACAGCATTTGGGTATGGAATTATTTGGGTCAGAGAAGATTTCCTAGCAAAAGACTAGAACTAGAAGGATATTAGTAGTAATAATTGCCTGCTACTGTATTTCTCAAATTTTAGTTCATGAAATCACTTGTGCCATAATCACCAAGGGTACTTGTTTTAAAAAAAAAAAAAGATTTCTAGGCCCAATCCTATAATCATTAAATCAGAATCGTTGGGAGTGAGGAGCTTAGAATTTAGAAAGGGAAGACAAATGGGTAAACAAATATGAAGTATTAATATCTCAACTTTGGAAGTCATCAAATTATACCTTATGGACAAAAGCTGAGAGTCTGCATGTGTTAACTGGCCTATCAGTGTCACTGTGTGATGTTAGAATAGACATTTCATTTTATATTGGTGGCAGTACATAAGGAACACCATCCTGATACGAGTTCATCTTTTAGTCTTACCAGGCACTCCAGCTTGGATCCAGTAGTTAATGTCTGTGCCTTCTGCGTTCCTAAAGACCTGTGTGATATTGATGGGCTGCAGCAGGCGCATGACCTCCTCCATGATGGCCCTGGCCTTGTCACTGCCAGTGAATTGCAGCCCAGAAGGTAAGAAGGTTCCCAAGTCTGACTCCATCACCAGGCTGTAGTTAGAAATATTTGCCTAAACAAAAGAGAAAAGCGTTTGGTTCATTGTGTTTGGCTTCTTTGCTTTCTCCTTGGGAACTACCAGACAACAACAACTATGACCAAATACTTTACTTCCTCACAAGTTGTTACTGAAATACACGATGCTCTGTCTGACTTAGGGTCTGGTCTGCATATTACCTAACCCTTCTGAGATATACAATTACTCATCCTGGAGTCTGCCAAACTCAAGAGTTTACTTGGAAGGTTTAAAAAAATATAATGAAAGGAAATAGAATGGCCCATATTAAAGCTGCTCAATTATTTCTACTAACAATAATATTATCGCAATCATTTTTCTTAAATGCCTACTATGTACCAGTATACAATTCCTCCTTCATGGCAGAAGATCCAATATACATTATTCATGCTCAGACAAAAGCAGGCATGCGCTATGAACCTGTTTCTCTGCACCTTTTCCCTCTAAATAGACATTCTACCATATTTTAATTGTGAGTTCTGCTGAAGCTTATAGGCATCAAACTGACAGGTTTGTCTTGGGTTTCTGATTTTGTTGTTGTTCCATCTGTTGAATCCCCAGGGAAGGAGGTAAGAGAACAAGACATGAAATGCTGCTCTCCCTGGTGTAAAACCACAGCACTAGCAACAGGCATCTCTGTCAGGGCACTGGTTTGCAAACTTTTACTAAATAAATTCTGGTAAGAAAGCACACAATGATTACGCGTAGCCAACATTGTTACTGCAAAAGCTTAGAATATAAGAGGCTGTTGCCAGGTTGCATGGCTGAATTGCCACCCAGCCCTAAGACTTGCAAGTTTAAGGCCTTTCAGGCTGGCAAGGCCATCTGTTTCCCAGAAGCCATCCACTTCTTCAAGAATGACCAACTACTCCCATGGCTGAGTTATTCCCAAGATATCCCTGGACATGCACTGCCACTCATTCCTCATTATTTATCCAGTAAAACTCAATGACATTTGTATAGTGCTTCCAGAGAGCTTTCACATTTACGATCTTCTTTTACAACCCTGTGAAGTAGACAAAGCAGTTTTATTATTGATGTTGTTTCATAGAAAAGGAACAGGATCAGAGAGAGAGGTCAAGTGATTTGCTGAAAATCACACAGTTGGCAAATGGTAGAGCTGCACCTGAAATCCTACGCTTTCCGAAATTCTGCGCTGCCATCACCAGCATGGGACTGAAGTAGTAGGGAACACTTGTCCTGAATTACAATGATTTTTCACTTACATAACTATTTGAGGGTTGCATAAGAATTATTTTTTTTCTAAAACAGATTCCATTTTACAATGATTTCCTAGCTAATTGCCTTGGAAGTGTACTGTTGTTACAAGGGCAAGTGCAGTTGCTGTTCTAAAGGAGGATGCTGCCAGCATTTGCAGGACTGAGTGCTGCGGCCCTGGGATACCAGCACTTTTTTTTTCTTATTATTATTGTTAATGATGAGAAGGTTAATAAAGCAGAAGTTTGCTCAAATTTCCACTCTCACGTCTGAGGAATTTCTGTTTTCATCGTGACTTTCAGAGAAAGACTCAAGGTGTTTATAATAAAAAAAATGCCACCTCAGCATTCAGCTGTGTCTACTGCATGGTGGTAGCATCATTGGAGTTAATAATATGCAAAATATGTGCATGAATGTATTATATTCAGGGCTCATTTAACTAGCACAGTGGTGCTAGGTCAGCAGGTTGACATCTAATTTGGCAGTCCTTACCCTCTCCCCTTGTATGCTCTGCTGCCTATCCCTACCCCTTACCCCTGAATTCTCTCTCCACCCTACAGAAAGGAGAAAAGAAAAATCACAATATATCTCACAAATGGAAACGGAATTGGGTAATCTTGAATGTGAGGGTTCCCATATTGCAAGCAGATCCCATCCTTCCAGCAAGAAATTAGGCTAAGTGCTCCTAATTATGCACTGTTTAGGTTAAAAGTGGAGCTAGCTAGCAGTGTGGCTGTCAGAGCTAACACTAATGAGCAGTCTGCTAAGGTGGACACAGCCCTGGATCCACTCTGTTCTATTCCTGACTCAGCAACTGACACGCTAGGCTACCAAGGGGAATGACTGGCCTCTTCCTCTGTCCCCAAGTCATGTCACCTTGGTCCTTGGCTTCTCCATTTGTAGGTTGGAACAAACGCTCTTTTCAAAGCTTGCATAATGAGCCTGTGCATATGAAGCTTTGAGCTCCTTCAGAGAAAAACCTTTGTAGACCAACGTGAAAGTGGCTATATAAATTTAACTTACCAGATTTCTAAACACAATACTCATTCAGGGCTTCCTGGCCCTCTCCAACTGCAAATGAATAGATATCCTAGGGACAGGGGACTCTACAGTTTGTGAGTCCCGCTATGCAATGTCACAGAATGTTGATAGGCATGTAGAGACTAATTTAAATAAAGGAGCTTTCAAAAGTGTGGTGGGCTATATACGTGAGAGCCAGTTTAGCAGAGAGATAGAATATGGGTTTTGGAATTAGCCTAAGTGGGCTTGATCGATTAGCCAATATTAGCCGTGTGTCTTTGGGCAGTCTGTGTAATTTCTCAGTTTCTGTCTCCATGAAATGGGGATGACACTGATACCCAGATGGTAGAGTTGTTAGACATCCTGCATGTACAGCCTGCCACATAATTAACAGCTGTTAAACAGCAGCATTTTTGTTGTTACTGCTCTTAGCACTAGACATCTGTACCTCTCAGGTTTTTAAGAGCGTCCCAGTATAAAGCATTCTGTTAGCTGCTTATAATGATGATCGGTAGAATTATTGAGGTGCTTCCTACATGCCAGACACTATGCAAAATGCTTTACAGCTTATTTCATGGAATGCTCACAATCATTCTATAAGTTTATTATTGCTCTCGTTTCAAAGATGCAGCAACTAAGGTTTAATGAGGTTCGCTAACTTTCCCAAGGGTATTTAGCTAGTTAAGTGGTGTAGCCAGAATTCAAACCCCAGAGGTCTGCCTCCCCAGCCTGTGCTCCCAACCCCTCCAACACCCTGTCTCCTGTAAGGTCACTTCAACTGTCAACCACAAGGCCTCACTTTTGATTCAAAAAATACAGAGATTGCAGTAGAACAAATGTATAGATTTAAAAAGTTACTTTCCATATCATAATACAAAGTTTCCTTAGACAGAACTCATTGCCCCTTCTAATAAAGTAATTTGATTAAGCAAAGAAAGGAAGAGAAAAACAAACTCTTGCTCCACAGTTTTCTTCCAACTAGGAATAAAAGGCCTAAAATAATAAAACATCTTCTCAAGCCAAATTAGACAGGATGTGCAGACATCAGTAAACCAGAATTCTGGCATAGGTAACGTTTGATTTCTATTCATGTAGAATTGTATTAGCCGCTGTTAACACAATGGCAGCACTCTATTGTTTTCTATTTATATATAAACATCTCTATATATTTTCAATAAAGAAAACAAACCACCCACTGTCCATGACACCGCTTTTCTCATTTATGGAGTCACTAAGAGTTAGAACATGGTGAAGGAGTTGGGTAAACACACCGTCTCTGCTTAAAGAAATGGGAATGAACAAGCTGAACAGGGCTGTTGGAACTGTTGCTTCTTAAGAGTGTGGCCTCACAAGCATCCATGGTCCTTACTGTACAATGAGTTGTTGGGACACTCAGTGTAGATCTGAAAAGCTGATTATAGCTAGTAACAGCAGAGCAGACTCACGCTTGTCTCACTTAACCCATTTCAGCATGGACCAAGATACTTGTTATCTTATTTACAGGGTGTAGAAAGAAACACACTTCTAGAGACTGAATACTTTATTGCTGTGATAATCACCACTGATTGAGACATACAGATAAGGAGGCAGCTCAACGATAAGCTTAGATATTATGTGTAACCCCCCACTTTCCTCTCTTAATAAAGAGAAACATCTCTTTATTAGAAGTCAGGGAAACTGTCCTTCATTGCCATCTAATGTATATAACTGAATGTACGGAAATGCTCCCCAGTAACCTCCCAGGTTGGGATCACTGGATTAGTTAATGTCTGCTCAGGGTTGAGGGTTCATAACTTGGTCTTGTGTTACAATCACATCCTGTAACATTTCTCCCTTTCTGTTTTCTTTTTTTTTAAGGATCAGCTTACTCTGCCAAAGAACAATTTAGTAACCATTAGCATTCTTTGGGGACAACGTAAGATTAAAAAGAAGAAAAGTGTTGAAAATACACATTGTTTGTTATAAGTTCCTACTTCCTAACATAAACACAAGGATGATGTGTGTGTGCTTTGCTTTTAGAAAATTCCAGGCAACCCTTATTCAGAAATATAGACCAAAGTTCAACAGCATATCCTCTCCCCCCAAATTTGGCAGCTCCTTCTTTGTTTTAAAGTTTTTGTCTTTTAAATAACCAAGGTGACATGCCTTTGGTTTTGACCTAAAGTAACACTGAAATCCCAAAATCAAATGAAGAGAAAGGAGACTTCTAATTATTTGAATTAATCATGTAGCCTCCTCAATTCAATCTTCAAAGAAGTAAACTCCACTCTGATGCAGGGCAATTAACCTCAGCACCACTTTCTTGCCCCAGTAAATACTTTACAGATGATGGTCGGGATTCTGTTTAGTCAGGTGGTAGGCTTAAAACAAGTGCTCAACAGAGTGTGCTGAGTCACTGAAATCATCTTTCCCCGTTGTGGCAGTACCCTGGAATTCCCAGGTCAAGGAGTGGGAGGAGGGTGGAGATTCTTCACAGAGCTTCAGCTCAGACAGGGAGAGGTTTCTCCCTGTTGTGTAATGCCAAAATAGGCTTTACTCTCTGGTCAGGTCTACCCTGAAGCTCAGACTTTTATTTCTGACAGTCTCCAGCATTCCATTTTGAACAGTCTCAGGGACCCAAGGGAGAGACAGGAAAAGGATGATGACAAGGATGATAACCATAAGTTATTTTTATCCGACAGCTAAACTGGCTACAGCTTGGGGAAATGGGCAGTCTTGGGTAAGTTACATTAGTACGAAAATTGCAGACACCTATTATG